AGAGAATTATAATCAAGTACCAAGGAAAGAAAATAATTACTAAAAAGTCCCAATAACAACCTAAACAGTTTATAATAACAGGTTTTATAGTAGAAAATGACAACTCTAGGACTTGTTTGTAATTTCTTTTCTTTTTTGGAACTCATTGTAATTCTCTCTTTAGATAATCCATCCATAACCTTTCTAACAGAAAACACACCACTTAATAATATGCTCTCTCTACTTTTAAAAGATTTGAGTATGAAATATTCTCAAGTGCTCAAGTTCAATCTCTCTTCTTTAAACAAAAGACATATTCCAATTCTTATCAAAAGGAATCATTACATAGACCAAACTTTCATTTGAACCACAACCAACTATTAATTATATATCTTTCATGCAATAATTTCCCTCGAGCTTATAACCTCTCTCTCTCTCTCTCTCTCTCTCTATATATATATATTATATATTTTATATATTAATAATTGAAAGTTTCATATATCTGTGCGCACAAATCTTTTGAAGATTCAACCTTGCAAGCTAGGTCTCCTAGAACAAATCTGCATTAGAAATGTAATGCATCGTTATCCAGTTAAAAACCCTAAGCAGTGTTCCATCACTCACAAAGCATCAATTCTATTCAGTAATATATACACCATTTGGCCACTATTTCTACTAGAAGGTGTTTAAGGCCGTTTTATAAAGCATTTGATAATTTTAAGGAGTGTTAAATATTTTTTTATGCATATGCCCACAGTCAATATGAGTAGCGAGAGTAGAAATTAATATGATTTTGAAATTCAGTATTGTTAATAAGGATATATTTAAAAGGGTTAATGTGCATTCATCACTCTGATTTTTTTTTATGTGCATCCAGTGGGATAATATTATTTTAATTGCATCTAGTACCCTAAAGATTATGATTCCAAATGTAACAAAAAATATATTGGAGTGCTATATGCACCAAAAAAATAAGATCATGGTGCTGGAACATCACAAGAAAGATGAAGGTGTTGAATGCACCTAAAAAATAATATTAAATTGCTAAATGCGCCTTCATCCTGCTCAAAATTGTTTAAATTTTATGACAAATTCAATATTTTAACTATTTTTATTGATAAATATGAATTAATTAGACAAATTTAATATTTTAAACCATTTTTATTAATATATATGAATTAATTAGAAATTTCTTATATTTAATATTGAAGGCAGTGTGCATATAGACATATATACAGACGAGGGTCTAGAATCTAGATGGGCAACAAACTTCCAACACCTTAGTTGCAGCTGAATGACAAAATTATAGGTATCTAAATAAGAAACAAAGAATCAAAGAGGGATTTTTAATTTTTTTTTAAACATTAAATTATTTGTGGGTTGTCGAGATTTGACTGTTTAGGATTAAACAAAATTAAACTCACGATTTGACCATGATCTCTGTACATAATGAAGCCTATGCAAAGTGTCCTCAGGGAACCTTGTTTAAGGGACATATAGTTATCTGCAGCTTTGTTTATAGAGAGCCCATGGAAATGAAATACCATTGCAGACAAATTCACAAATAAATTTACTAAAAAGATAAATAAATAACACAAACCAAGTCAAAGAAAATTAGTATTTTTTTTTTTTTTTCATTTTTTCCTCTTTTTTCCAGAAAATTTTTTTCGTTAGGATCTCAGTCATTATTTTATATACATATATATGTATATATTTTCAGTAGCTTCTATTTTAATATTCCTTAAAAAGTACATTTTTGGATGGATAGTTGTGTCGTGTAGTATTGTCAATATAGAAAGAATGTGGAGAAAGAAATTCTCAAGATCAAGTCCATCCCATGCAAAATCAAAGAAGACTCTTCCAGAATCCACTGTTTTTTTTAACAGTAAAGTCTGAATTAATTAATTAACTTAAATTAAAAGGATTCAATATTTAAACTTAAAAAGCCAAGCCAATCAAATTCGAAATATATGACAAATAATTTGATTTGAAACATGACCTAACATTACAATATTGAGACTGTATAGGGACCCCAGATAATAAACATGAGTGGTTGCCTATTGATGAGCATATAGGGTTGGAACTATAAATATATAAAATTTTGGGGTGTAATTTATTTATTGTGTCATATGAGACAAAGTTTATTAGAGCAAGAATGAGTCTACTTTCTGATATAAAATTTGAGGCAAAAAGTCTTCTCCTAACAGTTCACATGACTTTCAGAAACTGACATTATTGAGAGATTTATAAACATGTGACTCATGGAAGGAGAAAATTTCAAACCTTTTCATTGTTTATGTTAAATAAGATTCTCAGCAAGATTACCTCTTTGTCTTACGAGGTCATTGTTCATCGTATCGAGGAATAATGAGACAAAATGTGTATTTTCTGGGTTTTTCTCAATTTAATAAGATAACTAGAAGTTCACAGCCTGACTTAGCTTATGAGTAGTTAATCCTTCAAGTCTTATTATAAGGCCATTTCTTACAATCTTTAATGTAATACTTTTATGAAGTATATTTTTTTTAAAATGTTCTTTGTTGTGATATTCTCAAATTATTTAACAATCTCCTTTAATTAACAAATTTTATAGACGGTGGTCTTAAAATTTTAAAGTAACAAGCTTTGATTCACTGTGTTGAGTCGGATGTATGGAGAGCACATCGCCATTATATTTTATCATTAACTGAATTTTTGGATATATTATTGATTAAAAAGTCTTGTTCAATAATTTCATTGAGTTTTCATTTTGGTATTCCTCTGCCTCTCTTCAGTGTATTCCAAATTGCGTAATCCACCCTTTTTCCCTAATGCCTTCAATTCCCTTCTTTGTACCTATTTGAGTTATCTTAAATGATTTTCTACCTTTTCTCTTTAATGTTAGTTGAATTGTTTCTCATATATGTCCATTATGAATTTTATCTTTTCTTGTATGACTACATATCGATTTTAACAGTCTCATCTATGTTACCCAACCCCTATACTCTTATTATTCCTTTAAAGCCCAATAGTTACTACCATAGTATTGTTGGTCACATAACGATTTGGTATAATTTCCTTTTAAGCTTATTAGATGCATTTTGATCACAAATAATTCTTGTGGTCTTTCTCCATTTAAACCACCTAACTTGTAATGTATGTGTAACATCTTAATCAATTTTACCATAATTTTATATAATCGATTCCAAATATTTAAACTTTGTCGTTTATATGATTTGATCTTCCATTTTAACCGGTAAATCACTTCTAATCTTAAAATGTTAAAAGCATTAACAAATTTTAACCCAATCCCTTGATCAATGTGAAATTGTTAATAGTGAGGGATTATTACCCTTCTAGGCTTCTACATTAATTGTGTTGATAAAACAATATTTATGGCATTAACCAGAAAAGCCACGCAAGATTAAGATTATTAGAGACTCTATATAACATGTTACAGTACAGTTCCCACAAATTTTCACCAACTATGAAAGATCGATATGTTAAATAATATTTAGCATGGATATAAATATTTTAAAATACAGCATTTTGAATGTGAAATTAAACTCATAAGAGACTCAAGTAAAAAGTCTATAAGATGGCAAAGAAGAAAAAAAGAGGTAAAAAGTCCATAAACTATTATAACTTTATACATAGAATACAATGCCAAAAATTTAATTAGAAAAATAAAAAGTTAATTTCTTCTGCTAATCAAATTTTACCACTTCAGTTGTCAATTAATCAAAAATATAATTGATGCTTACTTGAGTTATTATATTGCTTAATTGGTCCCCATCCCCACTGCAACAGTCGATCTTGTAATTGACTTCAATCTTCTCCAGAATTGCAATGAACAGAGTTAGTTACTGCTATGATATTAACTTCAAATTCGAATCTTTGGTCCTAAAGTTTGAGCTGACTTTAAATCTTGATATAATATACACACAATATCGCAGCCCTCTGCAGGAACTTATTTTATATCAAATTTCAATGCTAATCCTATTGATAATTCCAAAATGTGTTCATAATGATATGGTCCAACCCACTTTCAACACCACTGAAAGGAAAAGAAAAGCCTATACCCACAGTGCTATCAACCAAACAAATTAAAGTTTCACTCCTCATTGTTGCTTTCATATTTTATATCAGCATCCCCATACCAGTCTCAATTTTTGCCTGATTCCTTCTTTTGCATTGGCCTTTGAAGCTTTGAAGGAAAAAGAAAATGTTGTGCACTGTGTATTATATTCCTCCCACACAACTTTCCTTGTTCAAACATGCACCTCTAGGATTGGTTGGATTTTCTTATTTTCTTTCTTTTTTTTTCTCTCTCTCTCAGATTTTCCTGGCAACCAAACAGACTTTTCAGGAGCTGCAGTTTCTGTAACAAGAATAAGCTGATACCTTGTCATTTTCCAGTATCAAATCTTATTCACACTGTTAAATTAGCCTCCTTTATTTTCCCATAGAAATATAGAAAAGCTTGTCGAATCCTAAGCATATGTTTTCAATAGAAGAAATATTCTTAAAAACACTGATATTAATTATGCCTCAAGCCGATTTTTAATAATTTTCTCCCATATTTCTAATATTCCTAACAGATGCTTTGTCATTATCCAGTGTCAAATTGCTATCCATAATCACTCTTTGATCTTATAGAAATGTTGGAGAAGATGGAAGGCCAATTTATCTCACATTTGAATCTAATCCTTGACTCAGTCTGACATAGCCGGACATGTCCTTCCATATCTTCTTCAGTATCCTTGTGATCTCTCCACGTGGCACTCTCACTGGCTCAGGGCTTTGTGCCACTATTAATAATTTATCAGGGATGGCCTAATCTTTTTATATTTAAGATATAAATAAAATACGATGCCCCATAATCTTACTAGATTCACTATTATCAAATAGCAAAATGCCCAACATTTTTGTCATGACCCTATAAATGTCACTGTATGTATGAGAGCTGGAACCTGTTTTTTTTCACTAGACAGTGACCTCTCCTCATTCCTTCTTCAGCTTCCCTCAACCTCTCTCTTATCATCCATATCCATTCTTCACCTTCGTCTTCATCTTCACCTTTTGTCTGCAATTTCTGAGAGAAGAGAGAGAGAGAGAGAGAAACACACACAGACACATATGGGGAATTGCCAAGCTGTGGATGCAGCAGCGCTAGTGATTCAGCATCCATGTGGGAAGATGGAGAGATTGTACAGTCCAGTGACTGCAAGCGAGGTGATGAGGATGAATCCTGGTCATTATGTGTCTTTGATAATCCCACTTCAAGTTCAACAAGAACAACGGAATCAAGACCAGAACACTGTGCGTATCACCCAGGTTAAGCTCCTTCGTCCTAATGAAACTCTCACTCTTGGCCATGCTTATAGGCTCATCACTACTCAAGGTGTGTATAAATTTTATGTATGGTAGTGTTGACTCCGTTCTTTCTAATAATCCCTTCTTTTAAAATATAACAATTTCAGGCTCATAGAGTCTTAAATCTTTATTGTTAATGCCTGTGGTTTCAGAGGTTGTAAACGTACTGAGAGCAAAGAAACATGCAAAGACAAGGAAGCCACCACAGGCAGAATCATCAGTACGGGAAGGAGAGAATTCTCACACAGGAAAGCAATATCAGGTATGTATACTACCTTATAAAATATTACTCTTAACAGTGAACCCATTTCACTGCTCCCAAGGAGCTGAATCTCACAGATACACAACAGAATGTGATCATAGCCAGACAAACACATAGATTCAACACTTTTGACTCATATTTAGTTAGAAACTAAAAATTTCAAGACAAACTTTTATCCCTGAGGTTGAAAGCATATAAATACAAGCAGGCTTATCAATTATCATTAAGTAGTGCTTATCTGTCATGACGAATTGCAGGCAATGAGGGGAGAAAGACAGAAGGTAAGGACGATTCTGGGGTGCAGTGAGGTATAAGTCATGGAGACCTTCTTTACAGAGTATCTCAGAGTCAGGGAGCTCGACAGTGAAAAACTGCGATATTCAAAGTGGCTCACACAACAATAGCATTTGATTTTGAATGAACGGCCTCTGTATCAGCACCAGATTGTCCTTCTCCTACTACCTGGGCACCGCAAGATTTCTGTTTCATCATAACCATGCTCCACAATAACGTAATTTGTATAGCCCCAAGCATTTAAAAAACAAAAAAAAAAAAGGAAAAGTGAGAGAGAGAGAGAGAGAGAGAGAGAAAGGAAGAGTCAAATGTATAAAATTTGGCAGATGTGAATTATGTAATTGATATACTTAAAGCATCCTCCTTCTTTTCTGTTTTTCCCCTTTCTAATAATCAAATTTTGCTCAAAGCATGATACTTCGGACTTTTAAAAGCTAAAAATAATTGTGAACCGGTTGTGGAGGAATAAAACCAAAGTAGATAAGGAGAGAAAAGGCATATATAATGTCGCTTTGTGATTGGCAAATGATCAAATACCGTGCATGCAACTCTAAGATGAGTGGTAAAAACATGAAAACTTGTAAAGTGGGAATCACTTTTAGTTGCTAATCCTCATCAACATCATGACATTGACATCCTCTTGAAGATCCCCCATCTAGGTAACTTGTTCTCTCTCTCCTTCATATAATTATCCGAACCCAAAACCTCGGCCTCTTCTTCGTTTTTCAATTGCTTTTTATCAAACCACTCAATATCCGAAAGCCACATTAGATTCCGACTAATCTGAATGAAGTCGAAAACGAATAATCTCTGTCATTTACAGTAGTCATCGTTAATAATTGTTCTCTTTCTCTCTTTGATTTGAGTGACCGCTATGTATGCATATGCGCGTATTTATGTTGGTGGCTCCACACCAATAATGTTCCAATAAGGACCACACTACGCGCCTTTTTCTTAATAAAATTCACTATTTGAAGCATCTTTTTTGGTTTTAAAAACAATGGCTTAATTAATTATCAAATTTTTTGGTGATAGATTTTCTCTCAATTTCAATTTTGTCGATATCTTTTTCATTTGTTTTTTCGGACCAAGGTCATTATGTGTACTTAGATCCTCATTCAATACTCATCATATCAAAATATGATATAGGTGGTTTAGATTTAAAATTTATAATCTGTTATTTTTTTAACAATAATTTTATCTTTAAAAAAGTATCAGATTATCTTTATTTTAAATTTTGTATCTATTAACATAAAAGTTATTTGAAACACAAAAAATTTAAATTAAATCTGAATTATCTAAAATTAGGTTCTTAGGTTAGATTGAGTTTGTACCCAAAACAAATTAATAAAATGGTGTTCAAAAATAAAATAAATCAATTGATTGATTTTATTTATAAACAAAACATCTAATAACTTTCATCTCAAAATTTTTTCTTCCAAAAAAAGGTAAAATAAACATCATTTAAAAGTATGAATACTCTTCATTTTATTTTAAATTTCAAATATATCAAGTTATAAAATCAAATTGAAATTTGAAATAAAGTTAAAAGAATGGAATTAAAAAAAAAAGAGCCTTCATAATAATCAGAGAAGTAATCTTCTACATGATATACGTACGTGAAAAAAACCAAACACATGTGTACATTTATACATGGAAAGAGAAACACACCCAACAGATATTTGATCTCACAACCTCTTATATGTAAAAGAAATGTAAATGTATTTGATTCAAATTTAAATGGAGAAAATTGCAATGAGGTTTCACTCAAGAGAATTAAATACAAAAAAGTCCCATAAAATTATCAAATTAATTTGAAATCTCAGGGGATCTCATTGCAAGAGATTTCATTTGTTTAATTACTAAATTATCCTTATCTTTTTTCAAAGTATGCATTCACAACTGAAAGTGCAATATTTAACAACTTAAGATATAATGATTAACAACTATAATGGCAGATATTAACAATTCAAGCATTACATTTTTTTAATGCATTGAGAAAATAAGTTGTTAATACCTACCGTGATAATTGTTAATCGTTACGCCTTAAATTGTTAATGACTACTTTTTTAGTTATCAATGCATACTTAAAAAAATAAAAACATTTGATAATTAACAAATGAAATCTCTTACAATGAGTTCCTTAAGATTTCAAAATAATTCGATAATTTCAATGGTTTTTTTGTATTTATTCGATAATCACAATGGACAACGTGCTTTTTTTTTTTTTTTGGGCTTGGGCATCCCACCCAATGGCCTAACCCAATGTATGGTGTCATTAATCAATGTTTTTTTTTGGGTACATATTACAGCACCTGATAGAGAGATTAATCTCTTATCATTTAGGTGGAAGGATACTCCGAGTAACAAAAAAAAGTATAATTATGTTGGGCCCAAAGGAACAAATATTTTTTTTTCAAATTATTCTGATGAAACGCATTCTCTTAATTTTTCATCAATTATCACTTGAATATTTATTTTGAAGGTGGAACATGCAATATAAAAATATTTTCATTAGATTATGGGGTGTTTAAATAAATCCAAACCATAATTTCTATAATAGCTTCTGAAAAAGGGTGATTTTAAGAATAAATTTGTTAATATTAAATCATGCAATTTAATATATTACATAAGACAAATTATCAATCACTATTTTAATACCTACCGTGATAATTGTTAATCGTTACGCCTTAAATTGTTAATGACTACTCTTTCAGTTATCAATGCATTACTTAAAAAATAAAAACAATTTGATATTAAACAAATGAAATCTCTTACAATGAGTTCCTTAAGATTTCAAAATAATTCGATAATTTCAATGGGTTTTTTTTTGTATTTAATTCGATAATCACAATGGACAACGTGCTTTTTTTTTTTTTTTTGGGCTTGGGCATCCCACCCAATGGCCTAACCCAATGTATGGTGTCATTAATCAATGTTTTTTTTTTGGGTACATATTATAGCACCTGATAGAGAGATTAATCTCTTATCATTAGGTGGAAGGATACTCCGGGTAAAAAAAAAAGATAATTATGTTGGGCCCAAAGGAACAAATATTTTTTTTTCAAATTATTCTGATAAACGCATTCTCTTAATTTTTCATCAATTATCACTTGAATATTTATTTTTGAAGGTGTGGAACATGCAATATAAAAATATTTTCATTAGATTATGGGGGTGTTTGAATAAATCCAAACCATAATTTCTAGAATAGCTTCTGAAGAAGGTGATTTAAGAATAAATTTTGTTAATATTAAATCATGCAATTTAATATATTACATAAGACAAATTATCAATCACTACCTCCGGTCCTTAATATAAGACCCTATTTGACTTTTATGTTAGTCCTAAATATAAGACCCAAATCTATTTTGTCTCTTATATTTACTCAATTTTTTCCAAGATAATCCTTCTAATAATTATAGTTTTAGCTAACATACTTGATCAATAAGGATATTGTAGGAAAGACAGCATAATTTATTACAAATAACTAACTTAACTTATTTTCTTAATTTCTTCAAAATAGTCAAATGGTCTTATAATTATGATCGAAAGTAGTACTATCATTAACAAATGACATTAAAGGGATAATTATCAATGAAGTTTATATAAAAAAATTCTTTATTTTTTGTTAGTCCTACCTGAGACAATCCTATTGAAGCATTATCGAGTCCTAAGTGTGAGCACCTTTTTCAATAAAAATTCAAATTTTGGTTTACCATATGTGAGGAACTAGATCTATCCACTAGATCTAACCCCATTGGTAAAATTATTTTTTTGGTAGGCACATGTATCCTTCTAATAAAGGTAATCATATTCGAGATATTGTCAGGTACTAAATGTGAGTACTTTTTTCAGTAGAGTTGAATTTTGATTCATCATGTTGTAAGAATTAATCCTTTCTATTAGACCCAACGAATTATTATATAGCCTAGATTGTATAGAGATGGATAATTGGTAAGCCATATTAAGAAGATGGAAGCCCGATATAAGTCCGAACTCTTTGATAGCCTTACTTTGAATATTGCCATATAAATATTGCTGATCTCCTTTTTTTTTTTTGGGTCCAAAATATTGCCGATCTCATTAACCACACAGCCATCGGGACAAAAGAATTGGATAATTAATCGATATAAAGAGGACTCTGAATAGAGTTAAACTCGTATTACATAATTACACACGCGTGTATATGTATATATAATATTAATCTTGCATGCTGTCCCTTCTGACCAAAAAGACACAGAAAAGAGAATGTTGCAGTGGAACATGATACTGCTGTGAATATTCTCACCTTTACTTTTCTCTTTACACTTTAAATTAATTAATTATATTCTATTTATTAGGCAAAGCCAAAGAAGAGACAATGATATAAATTGATCAAAATTCAATCCATTTGGAAACCCAATGAAGATAAGCACCACCCTCCCTTTCTCTCTCTCACAAGTTTCCAAAGGTAATGTGAACCTCTGAACATAAAGATTTAAACCATACAAAGTACATCCAACTTTTCATATATGAAAGTTCTTTTAATTTAAAAGCAAATGGAAAAAATATCCATGAATATTTCTCATACATGTGGATTGCATCATAAACCAACTTTAGTTTCAAATAATGATTAAAAATACATAGAATAGAAAAAGATTGTAGTATTCTCATTATACTTAGCAGGGCTAGTGCTTTTACAATAAATCTCTAGTCAACCTTTTTTCTTAACATCAAGATTGTTGGTATTGGATAAAAAAAGTGGTAAATGTTGATTTTTTTTAATAAAAAAGCTCTATTTTACAACAATTGTTAAAACCCTAAAATGCACGTTAGTTTTAAGTTTTAAAGCCTCTTTTTTGGTCCATCTATTATCTAGGTTGGCTTGTAAGAGTGAAATAAATTCCAAGTTGATCATCAAACATGATAGGTGATGAGAGAGCATTAAAAGCAACATCAAAGACTGATTTCCCCACCATTAAAGTTGGAACCCACTTCTTGTGAAGCCATTATTGAGGTCGAAGGTTAAGATTTGGCG